TCAGCATAAGAGCTCTTGACAACCCCCTTTGCTGTCAATGCCGCGGGGAGGCCAGCATCTGGAGCACCCGGCGATGGTCAGCATAACAGCTCTTGACAACCATCTTTTGTGTCGATGCCACCAGGAGGCCAGCATCTGGAGCCCCCGGTCATGCTCAGCCTCCTGGTTCTTGACCACACCCGCTGCCTCTACTAGGAGGCCAGCATCCTTAGCACGTGGCCTTGGTCAGCCTTGCAGCTCTTGGCAACCCTCTTTGCTGCCCATGCCGCCTGGAAGCCAGCATCTGCAGCACCCGCCCATGGTCAGCATAAGAGCTCTTGACAACCATCTTTGGTGTCGATGCCACCAGGAGGCCAGCATCTGGAGCCCCCGGTCATGCTCAGCCTCCTGGTTCTTGACCACACCCGCTGCCTCTACTAGGAGGCCAGCATCCTTAGCACGTGGCCTTGGTCAGCCTTGCAGCTCTTGGCAACCCTCTTTGCTGCCCATGCCGCCTGGAAGCCAGCATCTGCAGCACCCGCCCATGGTCAGCATAAGAGCTCTTGACAACCTCCTTTGGTGCCGATGCCACCTGGAGGCCAGCATCTGGAGCCCCCGGTGATGCTCAGCCTCCTGGTTCTTGACCACACCCGCTGCCTCTACTAGGAGGCCAGCATCCTTAGCACTTGGCCTTGGTCAGCCTTGCAGCTCTCGGCAACCCTCTTTGCTGCCCATGCCGCCTGGAAGCCAGCATCTGCAGCACCCGCCCATGGTCAGCATAAGAGCTCTAGACAATCCTCTTTGGTGCCGATGCCGCCAGGAGGCCATCATCTGAACGCCTTTGGTCATACTCAGCCTCCTGGTTCTTGACCACACCCACTGCCTCTACTGGGAAACCAGCATCCTTAGCACTTGGCTATTGTTAGCATTGCAGCTCTGGGCAACCTCCTTTGGTGCTGATGCCACCAGAAGGCCAGCATCTGGAGCGCCCGGTCATGTTCATCCTCCTGGTTCCTGGCCACACCCGCTGCCTCGACTAGGAGGCAAGCATCCTTAACACTTGGCTATGGTCAGCCTTGCAGCTCTTGGCAACCCTCTTTGCTGCCCATGCCGCCTGGAAGCCAGCATCTGCAGCACCCGCCCATGGTCAGCATAAGAGCTCTTGACAACCTCCTTTGGTGCCGATGCCACCTAGCATCAGGAGCACCCAGCCATGGTAAGCCTCCCAGCTCTTCAGAACCCCCTTTGCTGCCCATGCCGCCGGAAAGCCAGCATCTGCAGCACCTGCCCATGGTCAGCATAAGAGCTCTTGACAACCCCCTTTGCTGTCAATGCCCCCGGGAGGCCAGCATCCGGAGCACCTGGCGATGGTCAGCATAACAGCTCTTGACAACCCTCTTTTGTGTCGATGCCACCAGGAGGCCAGCATCTGGAGCCCCCGGTCATGCTCAGCCTCCTGGTTCTTGACCACACCCGCTGCCTCTACTAGGAGGCCAGCATCCTTAGCACCTGGCCTTGGTCAGCCTTGCAGCTCTTGGCAACCCTCTTTGCTGCCCATGCCGCCTGGAAGCCAGCATCTGCAGCACCCGCCCATGGTCAGCATAAGAGCTCTTGACAACCATCTTTGGTGTCGATGCCACCAGGAGGCGAGCATCTGCATGCTCAGCCTGACATATCTTAACCAGT